GGGGAGGGGGGAGGACGGGGTGGGGGGGAGGGAAACGAAGGCCCGGGGTGGAAGGAATGACGATGAGCGGGTCAGCCACGTGGCACGGCGCCGCGTGCCCCAGTCCGCCTTCAACGCGTTTGGCGCCGCCGCTGGCGGGTAGTATCGAGCAGGGGAAGGCGGACGGGCATTGAAACGCGCAAGGAAATGGGAAAGCGGAAAGAGAGGCGGAACGGCAGGGGAGAGAAGGCGGAAGGATCGGCAAACAGATCAAAAGAATCGAGACTGTGTGACTTGACATTCGGCACAGCACCCTAATAGGGATATCGGAATTGCGATGGAAGGATAGGCGCGGACGCGACCGAACTGTTCCGTCAATGATTGGCCAGCGAAATTAAAGCTACGTCCATAAATGTCACAACTTAGGTTTCTTTACGGCTATTAAGGCTGAAGCTGCTGACGCTACAAAGGTTAACGGAAAATAAATTGGAAAACAAAAAGAGAAGACGAAAGGCTGTTAACAAACGGCAGCGAGTCTCACTCTGATCGGCGTTAAACGCTACAGAGGTGTCTTCAGCCCAGCTCGCGCGGACGGAGAGCGCCACGACGGCCGCGACGAGCAAGAGCCGCGCCGCTGCGACGCGCGGCTCTAGTCTTAGGGAGGTCGTCGACGGGGAATAACAGCGACTGTTCGTGGTAACGTTCGAACTGGCGAAGCGCTCGCGATGGACCATTGTCGACGGCCTGTGTCGTGTGACTCGTAAGGAGTAAGGACGTGGTTTTGTGTGTCGACTTCCAAGCTCTAGGTAACTATTGAGACTACTCAAAGGACGGAAGTGTCTATTACTTTCCTAAGTAGAGGGTGGGTGCGTGCTAATTGAGATGCTTGCGTTTCACAGGGAGGGAGTGAAACTCGCGGGGTCTATTGAGATGTCTCAAAGGACGAAAGTGTATATTACTTTCCTAATTAATATGGTTGCGTTTCACAGGGAGGGATTGAAACTCGCGGGAGGTACGTTGGGGAGGGACGGGCTTGTCGCCCTATGCAAATAACCTGGGGAAGGTGAGCACGGCAAAGGCATACAGTGAGTGTCGCGACGACAAGGCGAGAGGGGAGGGCAAGGCGAGACGGGAACTACATAGACACGTGGTATGGTATCCCTGGTGATTGCAATAGAAACGAGGTTGGTCAAGAAAGGACGAGAAATGGCGCCTAGAAATTGGCTCCAGGATGGGCGGTGGGTTTTCGTTTCATTTTTGGTGGGAGGGTGCTGCATGCTGAATTTTGGCAGGAAGTGTGAGGAGGAGCATTCGAGGGCCTCGGATAACAGGGTGATCGCTCATATTTTCTAACCCTGAGTGCTGTGGTTTTACTGCACTTCCACTTGGCCACTGTAGTTCGTGTGTCTGTCACTTCCCAGACCTTAGGTATTTACTGCACAACCTTGTTACTGTACAGAGGATTCATTCGCTCTGGAACACCCCCTCCAGAGTCCAGTCCAGTCTCTGTCTCAGACATATTACAACTTCATTCTGCGAACGTACCTCCTTGGAAAAATTCTGACCTTCACTAACCTAAAGGGATTATACCCAAACGGCCCAACGAACTTCTCCCCCCGAAGACTCTGGTGGTGTACACTGCTGTACGGGATGGGGCGGCTTGACCCCGAAAGTATTCGCCGTCAAGAGCGGTGTGCTGTACAGCACTGCTTATGGCGAACGTACCGTCAGTGGCGGTACCGACGCCCGAAGCTCGCCGAGTTGCGGCGCGAACGGAGGTTCGGCTTACCAGAGCAAGCGACCTCTACGCACGGAACGTCGTTCGCGGCGAAGCTGAAGATTGCGGTGTACTACCGAACCGAGGCTTGTGGCAAAAACAAGCCTCCACCCAAATGACAAGGGGAGGGAAGGAGCGACCGACCGACAGATGCAAACAAAAACCACATGGCGCGAAATCGAGCTTCCCTCCAAAGAACCTTCAATTTTGATAACCGTTATATAGACAGCATCATTGTTTTTAACCTGCTTGGACATGGTTTACCATGCTTGGGAATGAGCAAGGTAGTACTTCTATACCTATCACACTTCTTTAAATCCCGAGTCCCAAATTGCGAGGCGCGTGGGTCAAGCTTTTAAAACTTGACGGTGAGGAGCTTGTAAACTTGAAAGAAGTTCTCTTGCAATTTGGGACTTTCGAGCTCCCACCAGGGGGAAGACGCGTTTTTGGCTGCGTGTTGCGAAGAAAACGAGTTTGACGAAATAGGACCTCTCGCCACACCCCAAAAATAAAACTTCCTCCCCGTCAACCTTTTAAAACTTGTGCAATTTGGGCCAACGGCTTTAATTTCGTAGGCTCCTTGCCCTTCTCCCATCTCAAATCCAATCAGATCGGAATGAACACCAATATTTGCAACGGATGGAGTTGATGAGCTGAAAAAAAAAACAAATTTGACTGCAGTAAAAACACTAGAGTTATAGGCTAGACTTATTTGAAGTGGATGTTCTTATGAGAGGCATGGAGTTCATTATGATGTGTGATGTATAGATTTATCTGTATTCGTGGTTCAAATAATTAGTTTAAGAAGGTGGAAAATGACTGAAAACCCTAGTATATGAACAAATAATTACTTGAAGATAGAGCGTAGATGAAGATTATTACGTCTGCTATTGAAACATTATTGCATACCGTAATAGGGGATTGTAAGCAGGAATCTAGAGCTTTGTTACGGGTGCAATGGAATTAGGTAGCGAGGATTGCACTATGTGGGTCAAAGGTACAAAGTATGAGCGAACGCATGAGCGAATACTTATGTGCGAAAACATGCAACGGTTACGCGGTGCGTGCGAGCTAGCTAGTGCTACGCTGGCATGGAGGTTCGGGCTAGTCCCGAAGCGTAGGCCGACTCGGCTGGGCCAGCAGTGCAAGGTTTGGTGAGAACAGTGCGCGCGATGTCAGAATATTATGCTCTAGCCTGTAGTGGGGTGCTCTATAGCGAGTACAACCCTTCTAGGGTTTGCTATTTGTATCCTCATTCTTGCTAGTGCAACCCCTCCTCTCTTCTTTCTTTTAAAATTTCACATGCTATCAGAGCAGGTCGATCCCCTTGGATCGATCCTGTGGGTGGGCTCACCACCTCGTTGCTTCCGCTGCAACTTCCACTGCTACCCTCTGTGCCGCACGCCCCGTGGCGTGCGGCAGTTTTTCTTCCCGCCGTGCGCCCCGAGGCGCGCGGCGGTTTTCTGCCCGCCGTGCGCCCCGTGGCGCGCGGCGGTTCTCTGCCCGCTGTGCGCCCCGAGGCGCGCGGCGGGCTTCTGCCCCGTCACTCGGCGCGTCGCCCTCGGGAGGCGCTGCGACGGGCGACGGGGACCCGCGCGTCGCCCCCCGTCGCCCGTCGTGGCCTGCGCGCGGCCCGTACAGGCTACGCGCGGCCCGTAAGGGCTGCGCCAGGCCCGGACGCGGCCCGTACGGGCTGCGCCAGGCCAGCGCGCGGCCCGTACGGGCTGCGCCAGGCCCGCGCGCGGCCCGTACGGGCTGCGCCAGGCCCGCGCGCGGCTCGGGCCGCCTGCGCGCGGTTCGGGCGGCTGTGCCAGGCCCGTGGGCGGCCCTTTCTTCGCTGCCCCTGCCCTCCCCGCTGTCCCCCGTGCTTCTACTGGCGCCCCACCCCTCCTACAGCCCGTTCTCCTGAATTAGGGTTTGGGGGTGAGGGGTATGGGGGTGAAGCCACTGTGTGCCGTTCCCTGCTCCTCCTCCTCCTCCGTCTCCCTGTGCTGCAGCTGCCGCTGAGAGGGGGTGGACTTGTTGGAGCCGTTGGAGTGGTACTAAGGGGGGGTGAAGGGGGAGTGGAGCTAGCGGTGTAGCAGCGGGTGTGTGTCAGGGGGAGTGGGATAGTTTGGGGAGGTTGAAAGGGGTGGCCGCCGTGAAGCCAGCAGCTCCAGTCGCCCGTGAGACCGTTGTGCCAGTCGCCCGTGAGCCCGTTGCGCCAGTCGCCCGTGAGCCCGTTGCTCCAGTCGCCCGTGAGTCCGTTGCTCGTCTGCCGCTACTTTTAGCCGCGGAGCCAGTTACTCCAGTAGCCCGTGTGCCAGTTGCTCCAGTTGCCAGTGTGCCAGTTGCTCCTGTTGCCCGTGTGCCAGTTGCTCCAGTTGCGCCGTGTGCCAGCAGCTTCAGCTGCCGCCCACTACCTCCTCTCCTCTCATAGTCTCTTTCCTCCTCCTCACTTGCCCGTTGTGACTACCACTAGCTTTGCTCATAATTGTGAACTTTAAACTATTGCTTCTTGAACTTGTGCTCAGAATGTGTGGTGACATTGTGATCCACCCTGAGCTTGTACTGCTTTGCTTGCTCTGCTGATTACACCCCACTTTGGCTATGGGGGTGTGTCAGAATATTATGCTCTAGCCTGTAGTGGGGTGCTCTATAGCGAGTACAACCCTTCTAGGGTTTGCTATTTGTATCCTCATTCTTGCTAGTGCAACCCCTCCTCTCTTCTTTCTTTTAAATTTTCACACGCGAAGTTGGCGAAGCCCCGTTAGCAGTAACGGGTGAACAACGGCTGCTGCTGTACACGATGTTGATGGTCGTGGTAAGGAATGTCAAGAAAATTCCTTACACTACCCCCCCCCCCCCCCCCCCCCCCCCCCTTCAAGAAGCCCCCTCCGCTACGCGAGTGCATGTATATCGCAGAAACCTCGGCTCCTCAGGTACACTTGCAGGGCATGGTGGTTTTCAATGTTGGCCAGGGGCACCCAGCTATCTTCAGGTGGCGTGCGGTCCTTCTAGCGAACGAGGAACTCGATCCTCTTGATGCCTGTGGGTTGTCGAATCCGATGGCTCAAAATCTTTTCGGGCTCAATGATCGGCTCCGATGCAGGGCGAGTCATGGATGGCGGGCGGTGACGAGGAAGTTAGCTCGTAGTTGGGATGTAAGGGTGAAGCAGGCTGACGTGGAACGATGGGCTGATGTACCAGTATATCGGCAACAGTAAATGGGCGGTAACTGGGGTGATCATGTGGCTGATTTGGAACGGTCCACAGTATCGTGGTCGAAGTTAGGGTACGACGGGCAGTCTTAAGTTCTGTGTGTCGAGCAGTACGTAATCCCCTGACTGGTACGTGACTGGGCGGCGATGGCGGTCAGCGTTTCGTTTTGCGATGACATTGGCTTTTTTAATTGCTTATGCGGCTCTGGTGCGGGCAGCTTGCAGAATCTCGGCGAATTGCTGTGCGCGTGGCGTTGGGTTGTCCGGACTCGGCGTCATGGGCACTGTTGGATTTTGCCCGTAGTTCAGGTAAAACGGGGACTGCTGCGTCGTCGCTGACGTGGCGTTGTTGTATGCGAACTCGATCAGCGGCAACTGCTGCTCCCATGTTGTCGGGTCGTCGCACGTGGCGCGGATCAGCTGCTCCATGGTTTGGTTTGTCCGCTCCGTTTGACCGTCGGTCTCGGGGTGGTACGACGAGCTGAACTGTAGCCTGGTCCCGAACTGCTCCCAAAGGTTCTTCCAGAAGTTGCTGGTAAACTTCGTGTCGCGGTCGCTGATTATCGCGGCTGGTATCCCGTGCAGTCCAACGATGGGTGCGATGAACAGGCGAGCGGTTTCTTCGGCTGAGATCGATTTCCTGCACGCAGCGAAGTGAGCCATTTTCGTGAGTTTGTCAACGACGACCATTACCGCGTCGTTACTCCCAGGATTCGAAGGTAACCCCGTGACGAAATCCATGGTAACCTACTGCCAGGCGCGCTCGGGCGGTGGAATCGGCTGCGACTGACCCGCCTTTCTTTTTTCGCGAGCTCTTCATCACCTGACACATAGGACACGAGCCCACGTGGTGCTGTACGTCGGTCAACAGTTCCGGCCAGTAGTAATACCGCTGCAGTTGCTGTCGCATTTTTTATACCCCGAAGTGACCCGAGGTAACCATCTCGTGTGCCTTCTGAAGTAACACCTCCCTCAGTAGTGAGTACGCAGGTACCCAGATACGGTTGGTGCTAGTCTTTACGTAATAGACTCCCTTTGCTTCTGCCAGTTGCTGTGAATTTCCGGTCGTGAAAAATGGGTCGGTGCGGTATCCGTGGGTGAATAGGCCTGTTATGGTTTGGGCGAGTAGGATGGCGTGAAGTTGGGCGGTAGGGCGGGTGAGTGCGTCGGCGATATTCGATGCTCCTTTCTTGTACGTGACGGTGTAGTGGAAGTTGGACTCCAGATAGTCCAACCAGCGAATCTGTCGCGGATTGAGGTTCGGTTGGGCGCGAATGTACTGTAGTGCACGATGGTCTGTCCGTACTGACACGTCGGCTCCTGTCAGGTAGCAACGCCACACCTTGAACGCATGCACGATCGCCAGCATCTCGCGGTCGTGTATCGGGTAGTTGCGTTCGGGCGGGTGAAGTTTGCGGGACTCGTACGCGATTGGCTGAAGGCCGTTCCCGAAAGCCTGCAACAGTACTGCTCCCACAGCGATGTCACTTGCGTCGGTGACGAGCTCGAACGGTCGGTGAGGATCTGCGATGCGAAGCACGGGCGGTGAGCACAAAATATTTTTTAGGGCCGAGAAGGCAGCTTGCTCTTTCTCCCCCCACGTGTACTCAACCCCCTTCCTCAGCAGGTCGGTCAACGGGGCAGTCAACTGCGCCATGTCGAGGACGAACCGTTGCACGTAGTTGACGAACCCCAAAAAACTCTGCAACCCAGTCAAGTTTGTCGGCGCGTGCCATGCTTGAATCGTCGCAATCTTTTTCGGGTCTATTTCCACTCCGTCAGCTGAAATAACGTGCCCTAAAAACTCCAGTCCGTCCTGTAAAAACTCACACTAAGAGGCTTTCGTCAGTAGGTGGTTCTCACTCAGTATTTTGAAAACAACTTCGATGACCTGTAGGTGCTGTACTCGGTCTGTGCTGTAGATCAGTATGTCGTCTAAGTACACGATGACGCATTTATCTAAGAGCGGGCGGAAGGCTTTGTTCATGGTCATATGAAATGTGGCGGGGGCGTTGGTCAGTCCGAAGGGCATTACCGTGTATTAGAATGATCCGTAGCGTGTTCGGAAGGCGGTTTTCGGGCAGTCGGCGGGTTGACACGGATTTGGTGGTAGCCTCCTCGAAGGTCGATTTTCGAGAAAACCCGGGTTGGTCGATCAGTTCGTCGGCTCGCGGGACGGGGTAACGGGACTTGATGGTAACTCGGTTCAGTGCGCGGTAATCTATGCACATGCGAAATCCACCGTCTTTCTTCGGTGTGAACAGTATCGGTGCTACGAATGGTGACGAACTCGGACGAATAAACTATTTTTTCGAGCGGGTACTCCAGCTGCTTTCGTAGTTCGTCCAGTTCGGGTTGGGTAAGTCGGAACTTTCGCTGGACTGTCAGCTGTGCCCCCGGTTCTAGTTCTATCCTGTGGTCGTGCGGTCGCTGAGGTGGTAGTCCTGTCGGCAGATCGTCCGGAAAATCCCCACTGTACTGCTTCAGTAGTGCCGCCAGGTCATCCGGTACGTCAGCTAGCAGTTTCCCTAAATCGCTTCCCTTGTCTTCTGCCTCGACTTCCCGAATGTCAACCGCGTACACGTCAGCTCCTGCCGCTACAGCGCGTTCCATGGTGATTGCGTTGACACGCACCAACGAAGACTCAGGCGAGCCCCAGCGAGGTAAGGCGATGTTGTTATCGTTCACTCGCACAGTGCAGTCATCTGTCGTCCAGTCGATGCGCGGGTTGTGTCGTCGAAGCCAATCACGGCCGAGTAAAATGTCGGTTCCGTCGAGGGTCGGTGCGAGCATTTCCTGGCTAAACGTGAAGTTACCCCCACATCGAATCCGAACTCGGTCCACGCGTTCCCGTATCGCCAGTGGCGTGCCGTCGACCAGTCTTGCGTCAATATCAGGTAAACACCTGTCCAGTGGCAGTTTCAGTTTCCGTGCTGGGGGAGTGTTGATGAGGCTGTGGCTGGCCCCCCCGTCTACGAAGGTTTTAACTAAGTCTGTCCCGATTTTTCCCACTAAGCAGTATGGGGCTATCTACCGTGGTACCCTCCTTATTCGGCCGGGTGTGGTCGATTGCGTGAACCGGCACAATCACTCGGTGAGGGTCGGTTGGGTCGGGCGAGCGGCGTGACCTGTCAGTAGAGGGCCCGTCTGCTACTGACTCCCAGCGTTTCCCTGCTGCTTGGTCTGTTTCTGCTGCTCAGCTTCCCCCTTTCCCTTAGCGTTTTCCGAGCATTCGCTTTTGCGGTACCCCGGCCGATTGCACGCGAAGCAACGCCCTTTCAACGGTGCGGCAGCGGCATTCGCGGCGACGGCATGTATCGTGGCGTGCTCGTTCGTCCCACGAGATCGATGTCCCCATTTGCTGTTATTTCCGTAGGACCCTGGTCTCGGTCGGCAGAAGAAATCGAGTTTCTCCGCCATAGCGAGAATCTCCTGAAAGTCGGTGACGCCGCGGAGCTTGATTTCCTGGGCGATTTCGTGCATCAGGCCGCCGATGTGGCGGTCGATGCGCTCGCCTTCGTGCATATAGCCCACCTGCTCACACAGCGCCAGAAACCCGCTGGTGTAGTCCTGGACGGAACCGAGTTGGCGCCAAGTGCGGAGCTTCTGACGCGCCGCGATCGAAGCCGCAATTGGCTCGAAACGAGCGTGCAGACCTGCGCACCACGCGTCCCACGTGCGATATTGGGGCACCTCCACGAAATATGATGGCACCCAGGGTCCGGTTTGTCCTTCCCGCGTCGGTAGAGTCGTGTAGTCCATCGGCTTCGTGACGATGACGCGCCACCAATCCATAGCGGGTCCTTGTAGCAGCGACACGGCGTAACGAATCTTCGCCGTATCCTCCGAGACGTAGTTTGCATCGAAGAAGACGTTCATGGTGAATAACCACGGCTGAACGGTAGGACCACCCCGTTGACTCGGGTCAAAGCAAGGCGGACGCTGCGGCTTCAGCTTTATCGGCGACGGCAGTGCTCACTCGCCGGTCGGCACCGAAATCGTGACGCGAGGTTTGTTAGAAATGTGAAGGAAAGAATGACTAGAAAGAGAGCAGTACAAGGTTTGTATAGGCAAAAACTAATTTGGGCTGTACCCCATAAGGAGTGCCCCACTACAGCCTAGAGCATAGTTCTGACACACCCCCATAGGCAAAGTGGGGGACAAGCAAGTGAACGAGACAAGGTCAAGCTCAGGGTGGATCACAACGTCACCACGCATTCTGAGCACAAGCAAATGGAAACAAGGCCAGTTCACATGCAGAGTTATATAAAGCAGAACAAGCAGTACAGTGATCACAACCTAGCAAGTGTAAGCATGCAGGTATAAGTATATAAATCACAGTATAAGCAAAGTCAAGAAGTGAGCAAGTGAGGCCAAGTAGGCACAAGGCCTAGAACAGTACAGAAACGCTGATGATCACAAGGCTGAAGTGCCTTGGTGAAGACATCAGCTGTGTTGGCCTGAGAGGCCACGTAGACAAGACGAAGCTGACCACGCTGCTGCAACTCTCGAGCAAGGAAGTAGCGCAGAGCGATGTGCTTCGTTCTGTGCTCCAGTCTGTGCTCCTGACACAAGGCAATCATGGCCTTGTTGTCGACGTACAGAACTGGAGGAGAACGAGGCGGCTCGCCCAAGTCCGTCAGCAGGTAGGTGAGCCAGCGTAACTCCTGTGTAGCCATGGCCCCTGCGTAGATATCAACCTCACAACTGGAGCTGAGAACAGAAGACGAGTGGGTAGACCGCCACGAAACAGAGCAGGAGCCAAGGCTGAAGGTGTAACCCTGTGACGACCGCTGCGTAGCCAAGTCGTCAACCCAAGAAGCGTCTGCGTGACCAGTGAGGACAACTGGAGCCCGTCCTCCAAGCACGAGCCCCATGCCCGACGTACTGCACAAGCAGCACATCACCCTATTAGCGGCCTTCCAGTGCTCTGGTCGGTGTCTCCCGGGCGCAACGTAGCGAGCCAGGATGCTAAGAGGGTAAGCGAGGTCAGGTCGAGTGCAGATCATCAGGTACATGAGGCAGCCCACAAGCTCTGGATACGGGCCACTCGGCTCTACGGACTCATCCGAAGGCAGAGCTGAGAGCGAGTGACCGGTAGACAGAGGAGTGGCCTGTGGCAAGGAGTACTCGAAGCCGAAGCGCTGAAGGACCTGCTGCACCATGTGTGACTGAGTCAAGGTAATGGTGCGCTGTGCTCTGTCCCGGGTGATCTGCAAGCCAAGATAGCTGCGCATCTCACCCAGGTCTGTGCACGTGTGTCTCTTCTGCAGCTCCGACTTCACGTGGGCGAGTCCCTCAGTGTCAGCAGTGGCAAAGACCAAGTCGTCGATGTACACGAGGATGTAGAACGGCGGCAGAGAAGTGTCGGTGCGTAGAAACAGCGACGGGTCAGCAGTAGAAGGTGCAAACCCGAGAGCCGCAAGAGTCGTCCTCAGTGTGTCGTGCCACTCACGAGGTGCCTGGCGGAGACCGTAGACTGGCCGCCAGAGGCTCCATTGGGTACCAGCAGGAAACCGACCAGTGAAGCCAGGTGGGCGGCGCAGCCAGATCTCCTCGTGCAGGCTGCCCTGTAGGAAAGCAGTGATGAAGTCAAGAGAGTGAAGCTCGTAGTCACGCTGAGCGGCGACGTGCAGCAGCACCCGAAGAGTGGTCATCTTCAGGATGGGGGAGAAGGTCTGGAAGAAGTCAACTCCCTGTCGCTGACTGAAGCCACGTGCAACGTAACGCGCATTGAAGACAGGCGGAGAACCCGGCGGCCGCTTCACCCTGAAAATCCACATGCCACTGACGATGTTCGCCCCAGGTGGGGGAACCTCGTCAACGTAAGTGCCTGTGGACTTCCAGGATGCCATCTCTGCGTCCAAGGTTGTCTGCCACTGAGAGGAGTAGGGACCCTCTATCGCCTCTGCGTAAGAGCGCGGGGTCGGGATGTCTGGTGCATCCGGGTCTCCCTCAGGTGCAATCAGCATGGACACGAGATGAGGTACAGCAGCTGCAAAGCACTCAAAGTCCTCCTGCCTGTCCTCAAGGACGTCCGTGCCAAGAGCACACTCACCCCCGACGGACGGAGGACAGACAGACTCAGACTCAGCAACAAGACTAGCAGCGTAGTCTAGACGACAGGCGGCAGCGAAGTCAACAAGCTCAGCAACTAGGGCAGACGCAGCAGTGGACTCAAACGAAGGGTCAGTAACAACAGTAGCAAGAAGACGCGTGACAGTAGGACTGGCAACACGAGCAAGGTCTGACGGCGGGTCAGCAACGTCAGGAAGAGAGGATGCAGGAGGAGACGGCAGAGGGACACGCTGTGGAGCAGTAGAAGGACGAAGGGCCATCTGGTGCGTGCCTGGGACAGCAGGAGGACGCTGACGCGGAACACGACGACCAGTGCGAACAGCGCAAACAGGCGACGCAGGACGAGACTCAGGCGACGCAGGACGAGACTCAGGCGACACAGGACGAGACTCAGGCTCACGATGCTCCGTAAGACCCCTAGTCGGCCCAGAGTAAGGAGAAGGACCAAGCAGTGGAGAGGCTGGCTGTAACTACGACTGCGACTGGACAGGCTCTGGACACAGTAACGAAGGAGTAAGACCAGTAGAAGGCGGGAGACCAAGAACCTGTGTAAGGAGGGGAACGAAGTACGGCCGCGGCCGCGCAGCGCCTCCTGAACCAGCAGAGACAACACCAGTACCCCCAGCGCCAGGGTCTCCAGCTCCAACTCCCTCAGCACTACCAGCTCCAGCACCAGCAGCACCTCCAGCAGCAACAGCTCCAGTGCCTCCAGCTCCAACTCCTGCAGCACCACCAGCTCCAGCAGCTCCAGTACAAGCACCTCCGGGACCAGCGGCTCCAGCACCTCCAGCAGCTCCAGCACCAGGAGTACCTTCAGCAGCTCCAACTCCAGCAGCTCCAGTACCTCCAGGACGAGCACCTCCGGGACCAACGGCTCCAGCACCTCCAGCAGCTCCAGCACCAGCAGTACCTCCAGCAGCTCCAGCTCCAGCAGCTCCAGTGCCTCCAGTACGAGCACCTCCGGGACTAGCGGCTCCAGCACCTCCGGGTCTGCCTGGGACACACCTGAGGGGGCAGGACCCTAAGGGGGGAGGGGGTCTACCGGAGGAGCACCTGGTGCTAGGAAGAGCGGCGGGGGGGGGGGGGAGAGGGTTAGTGCGGTAGGGAAAGAGACGGTAGTAAGATACCGACTCGTCAAACGTGACGTCCTGAGAGGACAGAACACGACGCGAGGTGGGGTGGTAAAACTGCCACCCAGGCGCGTCAGGGGGGAAGCCAAGGAAGACGCAGGGAACAGCACGGGAGGACAGCTTGTCCGCGGAAGAATCGCGGACAAAAGCTCGAGATCCCCAGACACAGAACACAGACACATCGCCAACCTTCCCCGTCCACCGCAGAGTAGGTGTGGTCTCCGGCAAGGAGACACGAGGCTGAAGGTTGAGCTGATGCGCAGCGTACTGAACCGCGAACGGCCACAGAAAATGGGGAGCGGCTGCATGGATCATGGACGTACGAGCGACGTCCATGACCATACCAATGCGGCGCTCAGCAATCCCATTTTGCTGTGGGGAGGCCGGAAGCGTGAACGTCTGGCGGATGCCCTTCGCACGCCCTCAGAAGGTCGGAGGAAAACTCACCACCTCTGTCTGAGTGCAGACGCAGAACAGGAAGGTCCGAGCCGAAACTCTCGCTGAGCTGGCTACGGGCAGCGCGGATCCAGTCGATCAACACCTCAGTGACCTCACCCTTGCGGCGCAAGGGGAAGACTGTGGTGTAACGCGAGTAGTCGTCAACGACCAGCATGAAGTAACGCTTGTGACCCTGTCCACGGACGCGGGCTGGGCCCCACACGTCCATGTGGAGAGTCTTCAGGGGAGCCTCTGTCGGAGGAAACTCGGAGGAGTGAGGAGCGGCGCGCTGCCGGCCCTGGACGCAGGGAACGCAGGTAGGGGCAGGCCCCGGAGGAAGGGGTGGGAGGGACCGGGGGAGACCAGAGACAAGGGTACGGGAGGCCATACCTCGGAGACGAGGCAGGGAGGGGTGACCAAGGCGGTGGTGCCAAAGGAGAGTCTCGTGTGACAGAGGACGACACGAGCAGGGGGCAGACGCCGGACTAGACCTGGACGCGGCAGCAAACACCTGACCAGACACGGCTACCTGACCAGACGCAGTAACCGGAGGAGAGGCGGTAGTCAGTGTGTACAGGCTCGACCCAGGCCGACGGGTGAACGTGGCCAGGTGGCGGCCCGTCCGAGAGCAAGTACAGTGGGTTACACGCTGACCTCCAGGGGTGAACTGGTCAACCCACACGTCCTGGAGGTCAGCTCCACTCACCAAGTTCGTAGAGAACGAGGGGAGGTGGAGTCCCGACAGTAAGCACGACGGGGCCGCAGGACACGGTAGAACCGTGGAGGAGTGCGCAAGGACTGGGCCCCCGGAGGGGTCAGCCAGGGAGACTGCAACCGGCCGACTGAGCGGCGTGAGTGTGGTGCTGTCGCAAAAGAACGAGCGCGAAGCACCTGAGTCAAGTGTGAAGGTGCAAGGCCTCAGTAGGCGCAGTACCAGAGAGTGCAGAATCACCAGCACCTGGAGCAGCAGACTCACTAGCACCTGGAGAAGCAGACTCACTAGCACCTAGAGCAGCAGCCTCAATGCCCGGGTCGGGCGGAACGCATAGGTAACAGTCACCCTCAGCACTATCAGTAACAGCATACATGGCAGCAAGGATAGCATCGAAATCAAGATCAAAGATAGCAACATTCTGCTAAGCAGATCACCCCAGCGAGGGAGCTCAGCGGCGTCAGGAAACTGGGCGCGCCAGGTGTCAGTCAGGCGACCGAAACAGCGCTGCGAAGTGTGGGGCAGTCCGCACGTCTCCCCACGGCGCCCGCCGGTGCGAATAACGTAAGTACAGGGACCAGCACCCCCAGACCTCCCACGCCCAGCGTACCACTCACGAAGCTGCTGGGGCGACGGGGTCTCACGGGAACGCGGCTGCTGTTGGCGCTGGCTACCGCCAAAGCCTCCACACTGCGCGGCTCCACCTCGACCAGCACCACCGCCGCCGCCACCTCCACCGCCGCTGGTGCTGCCTCCACAGCCGCTGCCGCTGCCTCCACCACCCCCACCGCCGCCACCGACGCCCCCACTCCCGCCACCACCCCCACCTCCACCGCCACCCCCTCCGCCTCCTCCACCGCCTCCACCGCCGCCCCCACCGTCCCCTCCACCACCCGTGCTCCCCTTGCCCCTGACGTTGCGGCGCCTCCCACTAGGAGCAGACGCAACCCCGACCTCCTCAGTGCCAACGAGGTCAACAGCAGCAGCAGAAGCAACAGAGGGGAGAAGGGGGACGGGGGAACACCCCTCAAAGAGGGCGCGAGGGTCGCCGCGAGAAGCACCTACAGCAACGATACTCTTCTCAGCTGCAGTGAGGCGCTCCTCTAGCAGGTCGACGGTGAGCTCGGTGGGGCAAAGGGAGAGAAAGTGGTCCCTGACTGAAGAAAGGGAGTCAGGGAGACGGGTGACTAGGTAGTAGAGGGTGATGTACATGGGGGGTGGGTTCTTGGCGCAGAACTCGGTGGGAAGCGCAGCGCGGTAGCGGGCGTCACTAGTGCGGAGGTGAGTAATGAGGTCAGCGATTATGGCAAAGGCGGCCAGGTCAGGGAACAGGTACGGCAGCATGAGACGGCTGAGGGCAGCAGTGGCAGGGGAGGAGTAGCGCGCTACGACAGCGTCATACAAATACTTAGCAGTCTTGTACTGGCCAAAGTGCGCGCGCTCAGCAGACGGCAAGTCCGTCTACGAACAGCAAGGCGAGCAACAGCGTCACGAGTAGTCCACTGCGAGCGAACGGTACTGTCAGCAGTGGCAGCAGGTGCAGGAGAGACACCGGACGTGTGATCGAAAAGCGAGACTCCGTCCTTAGAGTCACACTGAAGGAAGAGCTGCAGGTCGTCTACCCAAACGTCGAAGTCAACCGCACGACCCTCAGCATCAAAGGTAAGAACATTAGGGCTAGCCCTGGCGGCAGTAGCAGCAGGAGCAGCGCGGGCAGGGCAGTGCGGCTCAGTAGGGCAGCGCGGCTCGGTAGGGCGGCGCGGCTCGGCTGGGCGGCGCGGCTCGGCTGGGCGGCGCGGCTCGGCTGGGCGGCGCGGCTCGGCTGGGCGGCGCGGGTGCTTACCAGGGGCGGGTGCAGGGCAGGGCCGCAGCTGGCGGTGAGGTCAGGGCCGCGACTGGGACGGCTGTAGGGCAGGGCCGCGACGAGGCGGCGGCAGAGCAGGGCCGCGACAGGGCGGCAGCAGGGCAGGGCCGCGACAAGGCGGCTGCAGGGCAGGGCCGCGACTGGGCGGCGGTAGAACAGGGCCGCGACGAGCGGTTGAGGGCAGGGCCGCGACGGGTGGCGGCAGGGCAGGGCCGCGACGGGCGGCGAGGTCAGGGCCGCGACGAGGGGCGGCAGGGCAGGGCCGCGACGGGCGGCTCGGTCAGGCCGCGACGGGCGGCTAGGTCAGGCCGCGACGGGCGGCTAGGTCAGGCCGCGACGGGCGGCTAGGTCAGGCCGCGACGAGGCGGCGACAGGGCAGGGCCGCGACGGGCGGCTAGGTTAGGGCCGCGACGGGCCGTTAGGGCAGGGCCGCGACGGGCTGAGAAGGCAGGGCCGCGACGGGCGGCAATAGGGCAGGGCGCGCGACGGCGCAGGTGAGGCAGGCGCGAGGCGCGCTTCGGGCAGGCAGGAAAAAAAAGTTTATCGTGGTGGGCCCTAAAAAAAAAAACGTTCCCACTAGGGAACCTGCTCTGAAACCACGTCAGAAATGTGAAGGAAAGAATGACTAGAAAGAGAGCAGTACAAGGTTTGTATAGGCAAAACCTAATTTGGGCTGTACCCCATAAGGAGTGCCCCACTACAGCCTAGAGCATAGTTCTGACAAGGTTGGCTTCTGGCCGCATTCTTCGCTTCGGGGTGTGTCGCGCCGTGGTCATCATCTCCGTCGTTGCGGGCGACGCCATCGCTAGCCGCGCTCGAGGGTTGCCCCACACTTTCGTGTTGTGGTGCTTGTCGTGCAGGTTGTCCCGGTGTGCCTGGTGCTTGCGATTGTGCTTGTTGTACTCGTGCGACGTCGTTTTGCAGGGATGTACGTTCTGCCGTCAGCGCCGCAATTTCTTCAGGGCTTTCGTGCAGCTGCTGCAGCAGTTGGTTCAAGCGCTCCTGCGTGAGGCTCGTGACGTCGATATGCTCGGCCATTCCGAAGGGCGTCGGCACAGCTTAGTCTAGGCGCAGTCGTGGCTGCACGCGTTTACGAGAGAACGCGATGACAGCGGCTCCTAGGTGCTAAGGGGCGTAAGTCCCTTCGAGAAAAAAACAAAAGTTGATTTCCTGGGGTGCGGAGATGCGCGGTCCGAAAGGAAAGTGGCAGTGATATCCAAGTGTTACGGGTGCAATGGAACGAGGTAGCGAGGATTGCACTTTGTGGGTCAAAAGTACAAAGTATGAGCGAAGGCATGAGCGAATACTTATGTGCGAAAACATGCAACGGTTACGCGGTGCGTGCGAGCTAGCTAGTGCTACGCTGTCATGGAGGTTCGGGCTAGTCCCGAAGCGTAGGCCGACTCGGCTGGGCCAGCAGTGCAAGGTTTGGTGAAAACAGTGCGCGCGAAGTTGGCGAAGCCCCGTTAGCAGTAACGGGCGAACAACGGCTGCTGCTGTACGCGATGTTGATGGTCGCGGTAAGGAATTCCTTACAAGCTTGCTTCCCTTCCTCCTTATTGGGGGGTGAGGGGGGGAGGGGGGGGGGAACGCTAGAGAAATCGGTGCGAGTATGTTTCTCCACCTACAACCTGTCTGGGTTTGCAGTCTCATATTTTTCCAGCTCTGTAATACGCTCGGTTGTGGGCTGTGCGTCCCATTCTCGGTCCGTCGCACATGCAGTTGCCTGTTTCTCGCAAACCCGGCTTGGTAGTCAGGCACCTGCCTCTACCAAACTGTTTGGTTTGCAGCCAATCACACCTGCGCCAAACCAAACGCGAGTGTTTTGCGAGTGATTGTTTGGTTACCCGGTTTCAAGCGTATTACCTTTGGTTGGAAACAAGAAATATGAGACGCGGGTTTTAAACAAATTTTCATGGGAAGGGAGGAAAGCGTTGCGAATCAGACCCATGACAAATCATGATGCAGCGGAGCAAGCCTTTGAACACCTTGGCCGCAAGCTTGCGCAGCTGACTCTTTGAGGAAGCCAGGGGTTGGGCCTCTGCCGCGGTGCTGGGTGCCTTGATTCTGGCGGCGGTGAGTTTCAAATCAAACTGCCAGCGATGTAAAAACAATTCAGATCCTCAGTCTGCTTGAACGCTTGGGATTTAGAGATTTTACTGTCGCCACGTGCAAGATTTGCTGGTAAGTCATGATTTTGTAATGCAGTCGAGAAATCTGACCCTTTGATGTGTCTCCGCGTGGTCACTGGATGTGAATCCTTTATTCCAATGAAATTTGGGTGAATATGGTTACGAACTGCAATATTTTGTTTCGTGTCCG